TTACTTCGTTACTACAATATAAATGCATATTTCGAATAGTAATTTTACTTCGTTACTACAATATAAATGCATATTTCGAATAGTAATTTTACTTCGTTACTACAATATAAATGCATATTTCGAATCAAGGACTCAAATCGTACTCTTAGTGACACGGATGACAAATATTTGCCGATAATGTATTCGGAATAATGTTTCTTGTTAGGTTAATCAAAAATGTATGTGTGCGCGTGTGTTTAAGCATAAATCAGTACAATGGTCTAGCTGTGCTATGCCCATCTCGGATATAAAATTCCATATATTTGCATTATAAGCCCTCAAGCTTACTCCTGAGCCTCTGGAGGGCTAAATCAAATCTGGGCTGTTTTTCGTTTTCTGTATTGTCTATTTTTATAATAATTTATGCCAAGAAACTGTATATGCCAAGTTTAAAAAATAAAGAAAAACTGGCCAGCAATCTTTTTTTTTGTGATCACGTAAAGTTAGTTTATTTGCATTAAAAATATCTTGAAATCTAAACACTTCTTAACTAACTGTAAAAATTAATAGTGTTAATATTAGGGTCCTGATTTAGTAGCTTCTTATCGTATCCAGAGACAAAGGGTTTTCCGCATAGAATATAAGAGATCGCTCTGCTTTGACATATGATATCACCATGTATATAATATGGATGGAAGCCTTTAAATTAATAGTGTTAATATTAGGGTCCTGATTTAGTAGCTTCTTATCGTATCCAGAGATAAAGGGTTTTCCACATAGAATATACGAGATCGCTCTGTATATAATGTGGATAGAAGCCTTCAAATTAATAGTGTTAGTATTAGGGTTCTGATTTAGTAGTTTCTTATCGTATCCAGAGACAAAGGGTTTTCTACATAGAATATATCATATCGCTCTGCTTTGACACATGATAATCACCATGTATGTAATATGAATGGAAGCCTTCAAATGAAGTGTTTTTAAAATAGAAAATTAAGTAATGTAAACCAAAGCTGCATTATGATCTGATAGTTTTATTGTTTCGAAGGAAACCGTATTGGTTCCTTCTCTAACTTATTTCTGTTTTAATTTGGTAATAGATTAACTATGTGTTTAATCTTATTCATTAAATTCTATAATTTATTTCAAAGTCAATATTCCTAACTTTCACCAACGATTTTTGTTCACAGATGTCACTAGTAGACATTTCCACCAGTGAAGACAAACGACAAGAGCACCTCATTAATCTTAACCGTCTGTGTTCAAAGCTTTTGGTAAGACTTTCTATTTCTACTTGAGATACATATATCTTAGCTTAAGATTTTTTTTAGGCCTGAGCTAATTTTTTCGTTATTCTTTACCGCGATATCTCTTGAAGTTATATAGATATATATATATATGTATATACATACATTCACACACATTTATATGATGCAAGGACATTAAAACACCCACCCTAGGTGTTCTTGAGGTTTGTTGTACTAGATTGAATAGTTTCATATAGATCAAGTTGATTTAATTTGTAGACTGAAACTTTATAAGATTGAGAAAGTTTATTCTTAAAAACGTTTCGAAAGGAAATTATATACATATATATATATACGTATTATGAAAGAAATCTGTAAGCTTATGTTGAATAGTAAAAACTAACGTTATCAATACTAGGAAAAATATTTCTTTGTCAAAATTGTGAAAATTGCTATTGGGAATTGTTTTTTAATATTATGTTGTAATACGTCAGAAAAAAAAGAAGGAAACAGTTTCTCGTGGTAACACCTTTACAAAAACGATACGGCGACACCTTTTAATACCTTTTATATATTTTTTCGCAGAAATAACGAAACAGCAGTAACAATAAATCAGTTACAAATCCCAAAAGTATTGTCTCTGAAACAATAATTATACTAAATCAGTTACAAGTCCCAAAAGTATTGTCTCTGAAACAATAATAATTGCAACTGATTTAGTGGCTTAGTTGTTTTAGAGACATTAATGTTAGGAGTTGCAACTGTTTTAGTACTCCTAACATTAATGTCTCTAAAACAACTAAACCACTAAATCAGTTGCAAATCCCAAGAGTGTTGTTTCTGAAACAACAATAACACCAAATCAGTTGCAATCCCCAACATTAATGTCTCTGAAACAACAGTAACACTAAATCAGTTGCAATCCCCAACACTTCTGTCTCTGAAACTTAATGTAATATTAGCATTATATCAACATTCAGTGCTTCTTGCTCGTAAAACAAATCATCGGTACAAATTAGATTTGAAACTCATTAAATATTTGTGACGAATTTCAGAAATATTGATATCAAAGTACAAAGAAATCAAGTTATTGGTCGAAAAATACAAACTTGGCGAAATTGTTTTAGTGAAAATATATAAATTTTATGATAGAATGTTAATTTCTATTTGTTTTTCATCTTTTATGTATGGCAAATAAATCTGAGACTTTAGTTTATAATTTGTTACTTTAACGTGCACCAGTAATAATGTTTTACTGTTTAGATATTGTTATCATGTTATTAATTGTTTTATTTGTTGAATTTCGCACAAATATACCAGAGAATTATCTGCGCTAGTCATCCCTAATTTTGAAGGCAACACCAACTACCGCTAACTGAGGAGCTACTCTAATTGAATAGGGGGGGTGGGGGGGTCCTTACTATTATAACGCATCTATGCCCCCGAACGTGATAATTTTTTTATTTTTTTGGCGGTAACAGGGCGTGAACCACGGAACATTGCTTATTATTACAGGTTATTATTCTTCATTGGCGATGGTTAATTGATTTGGTATCCATGTCTTCATTAACGATGAAGATGATAAGATGAGTCAACTAATTTACTATTCTTCGACTAATTTCTTTTTGGGGGAAGATTATAATGTTAACTAATCTATTCAATTATTGCTTTTAAACTTACTGCGCCGTTAATATGGTCAAGTTATTTACGGCCAGAGAGTGGCCTAGAGATTAGCGCATCGGACTGAGTACCCGAGAATCTCGGGTTCGAGACGTGGTGCTACCAATCAAACTTCGTATTTTTATATGAACCTGTGTTATAATAACGAAAGTCAATCCAGCTATTCGGTTAAGAATAACCACTTCAGGCAGCGGATTCTGCCGACTTACTGCTTTCTTCTCATCCGCAGTTCAAAATTAGGTACGAAACCGTATGGGTCTCTGACCTGCCCATGTGTGGATAAGGTGCAGCTCAAGTGAAAAACTACATTTTTAAAGATTCTATCCTTCACCAGCCACGACGATGATGTCATACTGATATGTCACTGTTGTTCACATTAAGTATGTAGAATACTTGTTTTGTGGTTATAACAGTTTGAGTGTTGATGATATCATACATATATACCACTGTTTTTGTTGTTATTGTTGTCCTTATTAATTATTTAAATACTTGTTTTATCACCATAAAACAAGTATTTTATGTAATTATGATGATATCATACAGATATGCCACTGTTTTTGTTGTTATTATTGTCCTTATGAATTATTTAAATACTTGTTTTATCACCATAAAACAAGTATTTTATGTAATTATGATGATATCATACAGATATGCCACTGTTTTTGTTGTTATTATTGTCCTTATGAATTATTTAAATACTTGTTTTATCACCATAAAACAAGTATTTTACGTAATTATGATGATGTCATACAGATATGTCACTTGTTCCCATTAAGTATGTAGAATACTTGTTTTGTGGTTATAACAGTTTGAGTGTTGATGATATCATACAGATATGCCACTGTTTTTGTTGTTATTGTTGTCCTTATGAATTATTTAAGTACTTGTTTTATCACCATAAAACAAGTATTTTATGTAATTATGATGATATTATACAGATATGCCACTGTTGTCCTTTTTAAATATGTAAAATACTTGTTTTGTGATGATGCAGTAAGACGTTGAAACATATAGAGTGTATGAGACTGTTTCCAGTCTTACAGTATTTTATTTTATATTTATACAGTAAAATTATTAAGTAAAACAATTTTGTATTGTATTTTGAAACTGAGGACAGTCTCATTTCTAAACACTTATTGTGTTCTATTAAACGGTGACTTTATTTCTTTAATACATCTGTATGAAAACTTACACAAGTGTCGTCCTAATTTTGACATGTAAAATGCTTGTTTTAAGAATTTTCAACTTAGATGTTTTGACAATAGTAAAGATTACAAAAATAATGTCACTAATGGTATTGGCGTTTTTTAATTCAATTACTTATCTATTATTTTAAGCTTTAATAACATGAACAAAAATTAATACAATGTGATAGGGTTCTATAGCTACTCCGAACAGACTATATCTAGGTGCTAACAAATGCGGAATCATTATGAACTATTTCATAAAGCGTATTTTTAAGTTAAATGTCTTTTTTTTTTATTCTGACATGTAAATATTTCAACCAATTTATCACTAGCAATGTTGCCTTAGTGACTGTCCTTTGTATTGGAACTTCATCCTTTCGTTGTTACGCAATATATATAATTATGAGCAGATAACCCTTTGTGTAGCTTTGCGCGAAAATTCTGAAAAAAAAAGAAGTACTGATTAGTTTGTGTTGAATTTCGCGCACAGCTACGCGAGGGCTATCTGCGCTAGCCGTCCCTAACTTAGCAGTGAAAGACTAGTCATCACCACCCACCGCCAACTCTTGGGCTACTCTTTTATCAACAAATAGTGGGATTGAACGTCACATTATAACACCCCCACGGCTGAAAGGGCGAGCTTGTTTGGTGGGTCAGGGATTCAAACCCGTGACCTTCAGATTGCGAGACAAACGCCCTAACCATCTGGCCATGCCGGGCCAAAACTCGCAGCCGAAGAAGGATTCGAATCTCCAAAGTTTAGAGTACAGTGTGTTATATTAAGACAAAATGTATTGAAAGAACATCGTTAAACATCATTGGGTTTATTCAAAACTACAGTTCTCGAACATGAAAAATTGACCTAAAAGATGTTGAATAAAGTGGAAAAAATCACTAAAATGTTTCGGGCACACCTAATGTTATCTTCTTTAAGAAAAGGAAATTTACACATTTACCTCTTTTTTTTTTAAATTTTCTTTACACGCGATATTCAAAAGTTGTATCCTATGAGGTAAAGAAGCAAAGTCAAATAAGTCAAACATCACAAGGGCTATTATAAGATATAGTACGTTAGTTTTATTTTATGTGTTGTTCATTGCAAAATTATTGCTCGATCGATATGCACAAAGTCTTGACGAAAGTCTTGAGAAATATATAATCCAGAGCATATTACAATACTCTGACATATCGAAACATAGCAAACAGGAAACAGCTGTAGCATTTGTAGATTTAAAACTGTACACATGCACCATCTGTGCAAATTATGATAACTTCAGGGCAGAAAAAAAATGGAGTAAGATAATGACAACATTAAAAAAAAATTTGCTTGTTACTTATAAGTCACAGCATATTTGTAAAAAATAATTCATATTTAAAGGGGGCGACTAATAATAGGGTCAGGGTTGGACTGAGTATTAACACAAAGATTTTGAATGAAACGACAGGCAAAATATTAAGAATATAACGCTATATTTATATACAAAAATTATATATATATATATGTATGTATGTATTTATCTCGTGACTTATTTTTCCACATTATTAATTAATAACGTTTATATATAGTGAAATTCAAATAAGAATCGTCACCACTTGATAGACATGCATTTTTCGTTGAATTGGTGCTTATAGATTAAAATTATAGGTTAGACTATTGAAACTTGAGATCAAAACATTCAACATAAAAACAAACCTGCAGGTGGAGAACTGTTCAGAAGATGGATGAAAGATTCTAATTAGAAATTAAAAATTCTTGGTCTTAAGAGTCGTGAAGCCATCTTACAAATCTATGGTACGTTTTCGATAGTGTTGGATGATGGTGACATTACTCAAAAACGTCCTTTAGGCAGGTTAAAAAAAGAGGAAGTTTTAGAGACTTAGATTACGTGTGTACAACAAGTATTAGTTTTGAAGGTCTGAAAATCTATCAGTAATTACGTGTAAAGTTTACAGGTCGATATTTTTCGAGTTTGTTGCTTCAACAATAAAGTAAATGAGAATTTGTTAAAAGAGTCTGGGGGTATTTTATATAAAATATTCATTTGTAAATATTTGAAAGGTAAGTTTATTTTAGAATTAAAGGCGTTAAATAATTTCAATGAAATTTTCGTATTCATATTATAAAGATCGAAAATTGGTTGGTCAAATGAAAAATGTTGG